GTATCACAGGTGGACTGGTTCAGTTGAGGAGGTCACATTCCTGAGTTTGCAAGATCTAAGTAGGGCAGTTCCTGATTTTGGAAATCTCTCATTTAAATCATAAAATGATTATAAATCACAAATAAACTTTACAGCAAATTTCAGCAACAAACCTATGTCTTTTAACAAGAAAAATGAATTAAATTCAACTTGGCAGTTTGTACCACAAATAAAGAGCAAGAAGGAATTATATTCATGGCACGAATGATTCAATCAATCCCTACATCTTTATCTTGATAGGCAATGAACCAGGCACTAATGAAATGCTGGTACTTTGCAGAAGTTCCAATTAATACATTTAAGATAAAGGGATGAAGTCAGAGTTATGTTAATGGCAGACATGAGTTGTATAATGTGGATGAATTGCCAAAATGGATGAAAATAATGTTATATCATTAGAAAGGCTGTCTGGGATACCAGTAATCAAAGATCATGCTTTGGAGTACAGGCTCATAAGGCCATCTGCCAGAAGATCTTGCCTACCTATGTTTCTTTTGCAGTTAGGCATCTGGAAGATGAATTTGGGGGGGGGGGGGATCTTCAAATGCAAGGGGAAGCATTTATAAAGTGGGCATATTTTGGAATAAATTCTTCTTCAGATGGCAATATGGACAAATAGAATATATGAAGGATGCAAAGCACCTCAGTGATTTGGGCCATGAAGGCCTTCAACAACAGATTATACAATTTATATTTTTATGAGTGGTAGCCCTTTTAATCTGATGGAGAATTCTGACCTCCCTCTCCCAATTCCCTGCAGTCCCCATATTTCTAGCATTGCTGAAAGTGAGACATTAAAGATCATCCATACTTAGAACTTTTATATTTGTTGTGTTCCTAATTCTGTGTACATCTAAACTGTATTTTTAAATGCTGAACTGAAGTTACCTCAATACTAGAGAATTAGGGAATGAACAAACTTCATTTGAGAGGGATAATGCCCCCATTATGCCATAATACTATTTAAGATACCAGAAGACACCTATATGTTGTAGATCTCAGTATTTAAAAAGTTTTGAAAATGAGAATTGAATTTGTCTCTTGTGAGCAGCATCCGAAGAGGAAAGATCTTTCTTGAGTAAAGAGACTAAGGGCCCTTCCAGACAGGCCCTATATCTCAGGATCTGATCCCAGGTTTTCTGCTTTAACCTGGATTATATGAATCCCCACTACCAGACAATCTGGGATAAACAGAAAACCTGGGAACAGATCCTGGGATATAGGGCCTGTCTGGAAGGGCCCTGCGGTAAAATTCAGACACCATAGCAGTTATAGTTATATTGGTCAGTCATTGGAATGGTCATTTGTCACAGACTGCAAGGTTTTGAGATCTTATCCATTTGTTAAATATATAGACAAAAATGTTTGGTGGACAGAGTTTTTCTTTAAAATAGGAATTTATTGTAATGATGAAACCATTGCAATTAATCAAGTTGGACTGATCGTGTGATGAGACGTGGAACAGTGAGAGACACAATAGTAAGGAGATAAGTTCTTACTGGTTCATTGACTGAAATAAGAAGTTGTTTTGGGTATTCTTAATTGATCTATCAGTAGTTTTAATATAATACTAAGAAAAATTATGATTCATCCTGAGTGTTTTAAGACTGTTGTTTTGATCCATTGTATCCATTGTATTAATCATTTGGTTCACAAGTTTACAAGTGTGGGTCCAATACAGAAGGCAATCTAACAAAAGGAGCTAGTGGAAAAGGAGAAATTATGTACATAATCACAGTGAGAAAAATATTTATTATGAAAAACACTGACCTTGTTATTTGGGAATGGGATGGGGTTTGTTTAAATACTTGTTTGAATAATTATGTGTATAGTAAAGGTTTTTCCTTGACATTAAGTCTAGTCAAGTCTGACTCTGGGGAGTGCTGCTCATCTCCATTTCTAAGCCAAAGAGTCAGTGTTGTCTATAGACCTTCCTAGGTCATGTGGCCAGCATGACTGCATGGAGCTCCATTACCTTCCCGCCAAAGCAGTACCTATTGAGCTACTCACATTTGCATGTTTTCAAGCTGCTAGGCTGGTAAAAGCTGGGGCTAATGACAGGAGCTCACCCCGCTCCTCAGATTTGAACTGCCAACCTTTCAGTCAGCAGGTTCCTCAACCACCAGGGAGTCCTTAAATATGTGTAAAAATAGTATGGCCAACACAGCTTTCCTCTGACTTGAGCTAGCTTCCACTTTTATTGTTGCAACTACAAGCAGGGCAGCAGGCGAAGTGAATCCAGGTTTGCCCTTTTCCTTTATTTAATTGTTTTTTTTAGTACTTAATGTGGGCTTTATAGAAAAGCCAGAAGCTTGAATGTTAACCCCAAACAAAGGGGCAGTGCTCTTGAGTGGTAGGAAATGAATGTGAGATCCCCATTGAAAACTGGGATTTTTACAAATCTTTATTTCAGTGCTGCTCCTCTGGGTTTCTTCTTGACCAATGGTGCTGCACATGTGCAATAGCCCCATTGTTCTGTTTTTAGTAGGGTGTTTTTTTTTAATCCAGACTAGAACTAGGATAATCTGGTGACTCCACGCTGTTAGGAATTTCTTATGGCACTCAAAGGAAGATCCTCTAAAATTCCATGAACGTGAGAGACTTAGATATTTTTTATGTTTCGGAGTAATCATATTGTTATTCCTAAATGCCCAGAGCACAACCCAATACAAATTGGCCATGATAAATTCCTGCTGAAACCAACAGGCTTTGAGTTTCTTGACATTGTTTTATTTCATTGATTTCAGGTTTTAAGAGCAGCTAAATTGAATCCTATAGTACACAGTTTTCAAAAATGTCTGTATGGTGCCCTGTATGTTTAATGTGTGAAATTGTAGATTACTGGAAAGATGACAATTCAGGATTGTTTTGATAAATGTGCTTATGTTCTTCCCTTTCATTTGTATTATTTTATTTTGCTTTCAAGGTTTTGAAATCTATTTCTCCTGTGCTCTCTACATTTGTTGTTCTCTTAGGTTTAGAATCACCTAGAATGCACTCTATTCTCTAAATCTTTAATTTGCGTTTTCTAACCATCATGTTCAGTGGTCGAGAAGCCTTACAAGTGCTTTGGGACAGAATGTTCTTTTACAATGAAGGGAGTTTTGCAAGAGAGAAACACTACTGTCAAAGCAAGTTTGCCAAGCAGTTGTTTGAGCTGGCTTGTTGTTCAACCATCACAAATTACAGCTTCTGTCTCTGTTGATTTCATGTTATCTATTTCAGTACTTCTCTTCCACTCTCTAGTTTAATCCAACCCCTTCCAATAACCATTCCTTGGGAAGCTGTAGATCACTCTTTCAACAGCAGTCTAAAATATTGCATGGATTTTCTGCATATTATTTCAGCAGGATGATATAGACAGATCACATGGGGAGATAAGACTGATATACTACCTTGAATATCATACCATCTTGAATTAACCTGATCATGTCTAATTTGGAAGCTAAATAGAGTTTGGTCTAGCTAGTTCTTGGGTGGAGGACTACCAATCCTGCCAAAATTTCTGGAGAACTAGTGCTGCCAAATAGGGTTGACAGTTCAACATTGCTAGATAGGCTAGTAGTCCAACAATATCAAGTGGCATTCTGTAGTCCTGGTCATGGGCTATTTCATCCACAATAGTTAGCAAAATTGTGGTTTGTTGAATTTTGGGTTCCTATGAACAAACCATGGCTTCTTAGCCTGCTATAAGCTGCTTTTTGTTGTTCAGTTATAAAATATGGCTTGTTTAATCAGTGGTTTATTATTTCTGGATCCAGAAGAATGGGCAAGATCTGTCTCTTTCCCCAAAAAACCTGTCATAAAAGAAGATCTGACAAAGAGACTGTTAGTTTGGTTGTTTACAGAGCAAGTTCATGGCTATATCAACCAGCCATGGTTAACATAAGTGAGAGGTGGGATCACCATGTGATCTAGATGCTGCTGGATGACAAATCTGGGTTTTGGAGTTCAACAGCACAAGAAGTGTCACATGTTTATGGGCACGGGTATAAACCATTGTTTATCATCGTGATGTGAATGTTACCATTAGGAGAAAACCTTTCTTCTTTTCATTGAAAATAAAGCTAAGCCTGGCACATATATAACTATAGCCAAGCTATAAGAACTAACAACAGTTTCATGAGTGGCAGGATAAAGGAGGACTATAGGTATAAAATAGTTTGCCATGCTGGCTCTTTGGATTTCAAGAATTCTTTTTATACCAGTGTT